CACACGAGGAACCACCGGAAGAGGTATGTACCACTTCTAAAGATTCCCATACTTTAGATGATGTACAAGAAGCTTTTAATGAACTCTATGATGAATATGTCAATGCTTCTAAAATTAACAAGGATTTAAAGAAACAACTTACTTCCATGGAGAAGGAGGTTGATAAATTATCAAAAGATAATGAAAAACTTAAAGAAGAAAATAAGTTTTTCGGAAAAAGAAGCGCCGACAAACCGGAGAGTTCAAAATGTAGTTCTTGTACATCACTTAAAGAACAAGTTGCAAAACTTGAAGGAACCTTAAAGAAGTTTGGTGTTTCTCATAAAAATCTCAATGATGTTCTTGATAATTTGCAACTTACTAAACATGGCCTAGGTTTTGAAAATGGAACTAATAATAAAGAGAAAGTTTAGCAACCACCTAAACAACCTAAGGCTCAACCTAGGAAAACTAAAGTGAACAATAATAGACAACCTACATCAACTAGGAACACTAGACCACCTAGAAAGAACACTAGGATAAACAATGGTCAAGTTAGAGAACCTAGAAACCATTTTCCAAACATGCATAAACAAAATTTTTCTCAAACTAGGGTCAATCAATATAGAAAACCTAGTAACTATTATCAACCTAGGAGAATGCATAATCCAAATGTTATTTGTCATTATTGCAATAGGGTAGGACATATAGCCCCCGGTTTGTTTCACTAGGCATAGGCATTGCACTCAAAACCAATCACACTACCAACGTGCACCTAACGCCCAAGGACCCAAAAGGAATTGGGTACCTAAATCTTTTTAAATTGATTTGTAGGTGTGCTTGAAGGCATCAAATGTACTTTGGTACCTTGATAGCGGATGCTCCAAGCACATGACCGGAGATGCATCCAAGTTTTTGCAAATCAAACCAACTAAAGGAGGAAACGTTGTCTTTGGCGATAATAGCAAAGGCAAGATAATCGGCATTGGTTCGGTTGGTAAAAACGAAACCTCCTCCATTGATAATGTTTTGTTGGTTAAGGGTCTTAAACACAATCTCTTGAGCATAAGTCAATTGTGTGACAAGGGAAATCGTGTGACCTTCGATTCTAAATCATGTACGGT